TTAATGAAATTCTTTGCTTCAAACCCGTGTATTTTAGATTGTTCCATGGGGTATCCGGAAGCTTTTAGCGTGGATTAAGAACACATATAACAGCCCCAGTATTCACATTACAGAAAATGGTTGTCCAGATAATGGAGGGTTGGATGATGACGTTAGAGTATCTTACTATGGGGTAAATAAATATTGTGAATTACGTATAACTAACTGTATAGAGACTTGTTTCGTAGTCATATCTTGAAGCAGTTCTGGAAGCTATCAACGAAGACAACGTGGATGTACGAAGCTATGTTGCTTGGAGTCTAATGGACAATTTTGAATGGAGGTTTGGATACACGTAAGTATTTGCTATTTACTATTAGCCTTTCGTAGCGGGACAGAATTTATTTTTAAATACGATTTTTAGATACCGATACGGAATTCATTTCGTCAATTTTACTGACCCCGATCGTCCGAGAACAGCAAAACGATCAGCTACTTTTTATAAAAATGTCATCTCCAGCAGGGTTGTTGGGGACTACCCTCCACTCTCGTAAATTATATTGACTGTTGACTGGGAATATCTGTTTGTAATTTGTTCTAATAATAATCTCTAATAATAATCGTTGAAATTCGTTTTAATTTGCTTTCAATTAAGTACCAAATAGGTATTATTATTATTTCAAGGCATATTTCACGAACGAATGTGAAGCTGCATTGTATTAAAGTTGTCTCACCTAATCGAAATTCTAATCAATTTGTCTTACAGTCACAAACGATGCATCAAGTCTGTTATACTTAAACGAATTTTTNGTCTTGATCTTGGTCTTATTTTGCTCATCACTAGCTATGATGTAGTGAAGAATTTTTAATTTTTGATTAGTAAATATAAAGATAAGTATATAAATTGCTAATAAATAAATAAATTCGTATCGTCATTCTGTTAACAGGTGTGTTTTTATACGTATGAGATACTGTAGCAGTGGCATTGTAAAGATTATTAACGAAATTAAATAAACAACTGATTATTTAACGAAACAAACAAATGATAACAAAGGTCACGTTTTCCAGTAATACCTGCCAATAAAATAAGTATCAAAATAGGAAATATATTATTACAGCATTTTATGATTACATATTCAAAGGTCACAAATATTTTATTCTACCTACGGAATAATAGAATCTGAGGAAAGAAATGAATACTAAAATTGTACTTATTCATAATGTTAACTATTTTTACAATCAAGACAGCACTTGATAATTTATTCATTTATTTTAAATGAAAAATACAAAATGGCAATGTCTAGTTGGTAATGCTAGTATCGGAGCAATCGGGGCGAGCTTCTCATTAAATATCACCCCCACCAACGTCTCAAATAAATCGCAAAACCTTGTTTGAAATTTAGTTTAAACAATCAATCAACCAAAATTACCTCTCTTCTAACGGATTTTCAATGAGACGGTTAATAAAACGAACGAACTCACGATGTGATTAATAGCAAGCATAGCCTCGGCAAAAGTCTGCAAAGTGGCAGGAATTGCAACAAGAAATTATGGAAGTTCTATTCAGACTTGAATGTGACCCTTCAGATCATAACATATACTCTAGCGGTGCAACGAATGTGTCATAACGAAAACAGAAGTGAAAACAGAAGTGAATAGTAAATTTTTGCGAAAGCGGATACGGAAGCGGAAGTGTAATGATTTTAGATTACTCTTTGATACAGTGGTTATGCGCTCTTTTCGCGAATATTTTGTTACAAATTTGGCATTTACCACTTGCATTGCTAATATCAACAAAATAATCCCAAATAGAACCTCTTTTTGGATTCAAAATTGCACTTTTAACTTAAAATTTACACCACTCAGCAAACACTATAAAAAATAAATAAACGATAGAACTGTGTTAGTATTTTCGAAATGAATTTATTAGGAGAAGTGGCTAAGGGGGAGCTGAAAGTGCTGGACATTTTCTGATAAAAGTAAGAAACTAATAAGAGAATAAAATTTGGAAAATATCAACATACGAAATACAAGGAAATAGATTTAGGTCCTAAACTATAATAAAGTTATCTGCACAGGAGCAGATTATATAACTTCACAAACATAAACGGTTGATTATAATACGAGGGGTCGCTGAAAATTGGTGTAGATACTTGCACAACATGCAGCTTGCAACAAGTAATCCCATTTAAATTGTCTTTTGAAAAACGCCAAGTTCAGCCAACAGGCAAAAACAGCTAGTATGTTGGTCGGTAACCCACGTCTAACAATTTCGAACTTTCTATTCCACATTAGGTTATTTTCTTATCTATTAACAAATACAATTGTTAAAGGATTAATTCAGAATAGGGAATATGAGAGTTTTCTTTATAGTCTTTCAAGTGATAACCTTAAGATTCACTTTTTTATGGCGTTACCTTACTGGATAAGATAATGTACCATATCGGATAGGTACCAAGTTGTGTAACAAATGATTTGTTAATTTTTATGAAAAAAAAAAACACTTGTTGATACAAAAATTAATTAAAGGAATGTGATACCTAATACAATAAAAACAAAAAACCAAAAGTGATATTACTTATCTGACAATCCAAAGCAAAAGTTCTTGACTGGTTATTCAGTATTTGCACAATGATAACAACAGTTTTTTAAGAAAATATTTTTTCCTCTACAATGAGTTTTATCAAAAAGGGATTAGTTAAAAGTTACGAAATTAAAATGGAAAATGTCTCTAAAGATTCTTGATTTGCACATTTTGTGGTTTACCGTATCGTTCGACCTTTTGACATAAAAATTCTTGCAGTGTAATGCCTCAAATGGTTAATCGGTTGATGTATAAATGAAGAAAGTCGATGCAAAACCCATAAAATGCTGATGGACAACGTTTGTTGTACCTATACTATCTCGGCTTAAAGCTTGATGAATGTGAGGAACTAAAGCTAGTTGAAAAACATCAAAAAATCATGAAATTAAATATTTTGGTGCTATGGGTTTCAAAACATTTTCTTCAACTTGGATAGTAAAATTGTTTATCCGAATAGAAAAGTAAACGCTTTTCATATATATGAATAGCTAATACGACAAAGTTCTATTTCTTATTTTAAAAGTACACTACAATTTGTTGCTAATTGTCTCTAATTTGTTACAAATTCAAAGTTTGTGGTTCCAACAGGTTAGCAGAAAATAGACAAAATGTTAGGTCGATGTCAAACTGAATAGCGTATCTAGAAATAGAAATGGTCAAAAGAAGTACTGTAAGGGCCATAATTTGTCGATGCGAAATATAAATGGTGGGCGCGGCGGAAAAGGAAAGATTAGAAGCATTCGAAATGTGGTGTTACAGGCGAATGATGAGGATACCGTGGATAGAGAAAACTAGAAATGAAGAGGTATTAGAAATAATAGGAATTTAAAACTTAGGTTGGAGATATTGCGTGACATTTACAGATTATAATATGGGTAATCAAATATTGACTTCAATGGTTACTGTTAACGTCTAAAACCAAAACGCTTGTAAATTGTCAGATTTTGATTTTCATTGCTAACTGAGAAGTTAATGTATAAATATCGCGATAAATCAACAAAATAGAACACGGAAAATCAACAGTTACCTTAAATTTTGTTCTAATTCTACAGAATAAAGTCTTATCACATTTTATCATGTAAAAAGCCACTCTAGAGGTAATGTCAAGTATTTATGTAGGTAAGTACGTTAATTCCTATATTCGTCATTCAATGAGATTATACTATCGTGGTGTCAGTTCAGGTATACGCTTGTTAAATAATATAAATTTTTTTTTTGGCAAAAAAGAATTTTGAGTGATTATTATTTGTTTTCAATTTATAATCTGTCTATAGGATATGAAAAACTTAATTTTGACGAAAAAACTTACCATGAACGTTGAATTTTACGCGCTTTTTGAATCCAGAATAAGAAATAGAAAAATAGGATGACCTTTCTTTTTTTTTGTATTTATCGACACCAGATTTAACCTGTAGATGAAAACGACAACCTTCTGTTCCTGATTTATTGAACACAGATTGCATTGCAGTATGAACTGCTTTCTCGAAATCAACAAAAATATTTAGTGATATAGGTCTCTGCAGTTTTCTAAGGAAGTATGAAAAATACGAGAGGTACATATGAACCTTGTTGCAATGCGCGGAAAGTAAATATTTGGTTGAATATCCTATGAGTTTCTTATTTGTACGAGGTTGCTCCACAGAGATTTAAAAGACTCCTGGATTGTATTAAAGACACTTACAATAATCCTTATACATGTATATGTGTACATAACCGAGAAAAGCTGCACTGATTAAGAGGTATCATATCTCATCAAGAATATCATATCTCACGGTAAGTAAAAATATCTCTAATAAAGCAATCAACAAATTTGTTCCACTTGGTTGATAAATATACTTACATATTTATTACCTTTAATAAAATAACTTATTACTCATTCTATTTTTCATCAAACATTTATTTTTAAATAGTTATAATAAAATTGATTGACTGATAATAATATGATTTTAATAAATCGTTTACAATTAACAATTTCTGGAAACATTCTAGCAATTTAATTGGGTAACTGTTAAAGGACGCGCCATTTACACTAGACAACATTGTGTGAGAAAAGACTACATGAAAATTACTTTTCTTATTTCTCCATTTTTGAACCGTATTGAAAGTAATAACATAAAATAAAGTGAATATTACGTAATCAAAATTAGACCTTTTATTCCACATTTCGTTGCTTCGATACAAATATGTAACATAAGCACGTAGCAGATTATACACTTGATTTACTGAACAGTGGTTAATCGTTGTCTATTTTCGAATAGAAGACGTGAAAATCTCTGTTAATCAATAACTATTGAATAAATTGTCCAGCATCACTATATGCACAAGATTATCCAATAAATAATAATAGTTAAAAAGCTAATTAATCTAATCAGAACTTTCTTAACTGCTAAGCACCATTCATTTATATAAGCTGGTTGAAGTGTTTGTTACTTTTTAGTGTCATTCAGAATGGTAACTAGCACCAACACCATGTTTTTAAGGATAAGTACTTTATTTAGTTTGATTGCATAGTGAGTACAAATACACTTACTGAATATTTTTCTACAATCGAAATATTAGCTCTATTAATTCAGTAAAATGCTATTTGTTTATACACGACATTTAATTTTAGTACACAATGTGCTTCGAACTACACTTTTTCTCCGGATTTTATGTTTGGAACTGCAACATCCTCCTATCAAATTGAAGGAGCTTGGAATGAATCAGGTACTAACCTATTTATCGCATAAGGGTATAATTTAAAACATTTAAAAGCTCACCAAACCTACGCACTTAGAAAGAAATAAGTTATAATTTTATGTCTATCCCAAATGGTCTAATAGTCAATTCTATTTGCTTGTCACAGGAAAGGGCGAAAACATTTGGGATTACATAACCCACAACAGTCCCGACTATGTTTATGACAGAACTAATGGAGATATTGCTTGTGACTCCTATCACAAATATGAGGAAGATATTGCGCTCCTTAAAGACTTAGGAGTTGACTTTTATAGATTTTCTGTATCATGGAACCGGATCTTTCCGAATGGTTATCCACACAATCCGAATCAAGAAGGAATCACATACTACAGCAACCTTATTGATGCGCTTATCGCTCAAAATATAACACCCATGTTAAATATTTACCATTGGGATCTTCCTCAACGTCTTCAAGAATTGGGTGGTTGGACAAATTCATATATGGTAACATTGTTTACGGAATATGCAAGAATTCTTTTGGACAATTATTCTGACCGCATTGACTATTGGATCACATTCAATGAGCCACTTTCAATATGTAGTCAAGGTTATGGAGCTGATGGATTTGCTCCAGCATTAAGCATGTCAGGTAGAGCTGATTACCTATGCGCCCACAACTTATTAAAATCTCATGCCGCAGTTTATCATCTTTTCAATAATACTTACAGAGCCAGAAATAATGGTGAGTATATATTCGATCGTAATCAATCACATTCAATTACTGCAGAGTGTTCTGAACTTGTTTTGTTTCATCAACGAAATCCGGCGTGGATAGACAAATTCAGAACCTAATCAAAGATCGATTAGCTATTATTAACTATTATTTTATTTCTTATTATGTAAAGCAATTATCACTTGATATACCGATAATTAATAAGTGGCAAGTCTTGGAGGGTTTTAACTAGTTGCAATAGGGAATCGCATGTCATCATCATTATAAGGTGGTCAATCAGCTACGTTGATGGAGAATGTAAAAAGTGACAATGGAACTTACTTACCTAGAACTAGACTAAATACGTTTTTCTCGAAAACGACTTACCACTCCCTACATGCTTGCTACTTATTTAAAATAATCCCTTATAACTACAAAAACCCATCCAACGAATATTTACATGATAAAGAAAGTGACATTTAAACTTCCGTTTAAGCCTTAATGGGTATCGTTTTGAACTCCGCCTGGTATGAACCTAGCAGGCCTGAAGAACAAGAAGCGTCTGAAAGAGCTCTACAATTCCTGGTATGTAAAATCACAAAAAGTTTGTAATTCCGATTAGGTTTGTATACACTAGACTTCACTGGTTAGAAGAACTTAACAGTAATCAGTCATTTTTGTTAGTGTCCTAGGCTGGTACCTTCGAATTACTCTACCAACTTCATTTCGTTTATAAAAATATAATACTTATTCAAACAGAAAAAATTTTAATTTCTTTATAAAATTAGTTTTGTGTTGTCCCTTTAGTTAGGTTGGTTCGCAAATCCAATTTTCTCTACAACCGGTGATTATCCACAAGTAATGAAAGAGTACATTGGTAATCGAAGTGCTATTCAAGGCTTCTCTAGATCTAGACTTCCTCAATTCACTTCGGATGAAATTGAATACATTAGAGGAACGTCAGATTTCTTTGGAATAAATCATTATAGCACTGCATTGGTGGAATATTCACCAGCAACTGACAATGTAGTTTCAAACAACAACGACATGGAAATAGTAATGTTCCGTAATTCTAGTTGGCCAATAGATGCAGCCGGTAGAGACCCTGTAATTATACAATTTTGTATTAATGAAATTCTTTGCTTCAAACCCGTGTATTTTAGATTGTTCCATGGGGTATCCGGAAGCTTTTAGCGTGGATTAAGAACACATATAACAGCCCCAGTATTCACATTACAGAAAATGGTTGTCCAGATAATGGAGGGTTGGATGATGACGTTAGAGTATCTTACTATGGGGTAAATAAATATTGTGAATTACGTATAACTAACTGTATAGAGACTTGTTTCGTAGTCATATCTTGAAGCAGTTCTGGAAGCTATCAACGAAGACAACGTGGATGTACGAAGCTATGTTGCTTGGAGTCTAATGGACAATTTTGAATGGAGGTTTGGATACACGTAAGTATTTGCTATTTACTATTAGCCTTTCGTAGCGGGACAGAATTTATTTTTAAATACGATTTTTAGATACCGATACGGAATTCATTTCGTCAATTTTACTGACCCCGATCGTCCGAGAACAGCAAAACGATCAGCTACTTTTTATAAAAATGTCATCTCCAGCAGGGTTGTTGGGGACTACCCTCCACTCTCGTAAATTATATTGACTGTTGACTGGGAATATCTGTTTGTAATTTGTTCTAATAATAATCTCTAATAATAATCGTTGAAATTCGTTTTAATTTGCTTTCAATTAAGTACCAAATAGGTATTATTATTATTTCAAGGCATATTTCACGAACGAATGTGAAGCTGCATTGTATTAAAGTTGTCTCACCTAATCGAAATTCTAATCAATTTGTCTTACAGTCACAAACGATGCATCAAGTCTGTTATACTTAAACGAATTTTTTATATTTATTNATGTAATTAATATATAATTTAATAATATAATAATTATTATTAATAGCCTGCCTTATTATATGATTAATCATACAAATTTTTAATTCCCTTCTACTTCCCTTTCACATAGAATCTTCAGGCATCGCTGTTGGTAGGCATTGAAATATTTTACATTAAGCCATTTCATATTTACAAATAACGGAGATAATATTAATATAACGAATTTTTGTAATATTTATTTAACAACTATTTAAATCTTAAACTACTGCTTATTTTATCTCGCTCCGTATTTAAAACCACATTCGCCTTGAATGATCCTCTTATTTCTAGAAAACTCTAGAAATCCTTTTGTTACGCGGTCAGTTATGTGTCGTTCACGAATGATTTATTACCTTGAGTCGAGCGGCTACAACTTTTGGTATTTTTACTAAAAAGCTTGCCGTTTAATGCTTTTAAGATCCTTCGGCAATCGATGTATTGATTTTATCACATACACGGTGCTTGTACGTAACACTATTTATTTAGTATTATTCATATTTTCTAATGAAACAATAAGAATCAGCTAAATACAAATTAGTAGACTATAGAAGATTACCATCGATACATAAATCCAACTCGCAGTTAATGACTTTTTCTTAATATTTGACCAGATTATCATTAATTACTATTTTGATTACTAACTCTTTGTCTGAACTCAGTCACCTTTGGGTCAGACTAACAGAAATATGCAATACAATTAATGTTTATAAATAGTGTCATTATTGTAATTTCGGCCGAAACAATTAAGCTTATTTCATATTAAGTAGTTTGAACGATATAAAAATACTTACAGGTATTATAGCAATTCTTATTGTTGCCTCAAAAACGAAAATCATACTTAAAATTACATCTCCACAATTTTGTTGTAAAACTAGTATCATTTTGTTTACAAATACATTACAATAGAGAATAGAAAAATGTTATTCTTTGCCAGCACTGAAAAATTATACTGACATATATGAATATCATAAAATTGATATCAAGATAAAAATTATAAGTATTTCCGTTGATCTACCGGTTCTCTATGTTACAGATAGGTAGCATACAAAACTGCAATTTACACCTATAAAATATTAAACAATGCAATAAATATCCTATCTTTTCTTAAGGTATGTATAATTTATCTAATCGTTTAAGCATATTGGTTTATATAATTCCGAAATGTAATAACTCTTAGTACTTAGATGAATGCCATTGTTCAATATGTTTAGTGTATTTATCATTTTAGTTATTTTCGCAGCTTTTGACAGGTAAACAGTTACTATTATTATATACATTGGGGGGATTAATTAATTATTTGTCTATATTAACATAATTGTTTAAGAGGATGCTGGGCAATTAACTATACCTTTCCTGACAATTTTTTGTTTGGGACGGCAACGTCATCATACCAAATCGAAGGAGCGTGGAACGAAAGTGGTAGGAAATATTGGTTTTTGGAATTCATTAAATCAATAAAATTCTCAAGGAATGATATACCTATACTTAATTTAAATATTTTTACAGGGAAGGGTGAAAACACTTGGGATTGGTATACTCATAACTACCCAGAAAGGATACTTGATAGAACTAATGGTGACATAGCATGCGATTCCTATCACAAATACGAAGAAGATATCAAACTTCTTAAGGAGTTAGGAGTAGATTTCTATAGATTTTCTTTATCATGGACAAGAATTTTCCCAAGTGGATTTCCAAACAATGTTAATTACGAAGGCATTAATTATTACAACAAGATTCTTAATTTACTTGCGGCCAATAACATTACTGCCATGGTTACTCTATTTCATTGGGATCTTCCACAAAGACTTATGGAGTTAGGAGGATTGACAAATCCTAGGTTTATTGCATTTTATACCGAATACGCAAGAACAGCTTTTGAATTTTTTGGCGATCGGGTTAAATATTGGTTAACTTTTAATGAACCTTTTCAAACTTGTATGTTTTCGTATGGCGATACAAGATTGGCCCCTGCTTTAGGAATGTCAGGGATTGCTGACTATCTCTGTGGACATAATCTACTTAAAGCTCATGCTGCTGCTTATCATCTGTATAATACGACATACAGATCAAAATACGAAGGTTTGTAAAATAATTAAAGGCATATAAAAAGAAGAGTGCTGTATTCTATTAATTGATTTTCGATAATTCAGGGAAAATTGCTATCTCAATAAGTGCTGAATGGTTTGAACCAAATAACACGTATGATGAGGCAGCTGCAGACCGAGTACGGCAGTTCTGGGTAATGAATACTGACTAACATAACATACGATAATGTAGACGTATCGAAACAATACTATATTTTCAGTATGGTATACACATGCATCCAATTTTTTCATCTGAAGGAGATTATCCTGAAGTAGTAAAAGAATATATAGCGACTCAAAGCTCTTTAGAAGGTTATAAACGATCGAGACTACCACAGTTTACCCCAGATGAAATAAACTATATAAAAGGAACCTCTGACTTTATGGGTTTAAATCACTATAATACATATTTAGCCACCAATGCCTCAAGCACTAGTTTAGAAACTTCTTATTACAATGACATTCAGGCTAGCTACTGGCTTAGTAGTTCGAACATGGAAGACTCTGATACTGCACGGGTAAGAGGACGTATACAATGCTTACATAAGATATGGGTTTCTTGGTCTAATTTAAAAAATATTATACATATACAAATATACATGACTTCAACGGAATCATATGAAGTGAAGACAGAAATTAGAGCATTGTGCGAATTTAGATAATTGTGATTTTTATTTCAATTTATCCACTTCACTCTCTATTTCACGAGGACATTTCGTATTGTGGTGGTCAACCTCGAAATTATTTAATTTTTGCTATTAAGCTTTTAAGTCGTCATGCAAGGTTATTGCTAAATTAAAATTTCTTTATTAGTGTAATTACAATTTCCTCTTTTGCTTATATAATTTCTCATCAAAGACCTGTAACGATCTAAGTCCATAGTTTCAGATAGCAGTTTTCTATATTCGTGCCTTAGCTTGACGATTAATTCTAATCCTCCCTGAAATCAAGTTGATCATTAACTTCATGTCCATACTTCAGAATCCAATTGTACACCTCATTTTTTAAGAAAAAAAATGTCACTTGGGCGAATATTGGAAACCTGCTGCATTTTGCGTTCATTCGACCCGTTGACATAAAAATTCTCAAGTAGTTAATCGACAGATTAGTAACATAGATTATCTGTAGCTATTTGAAAAAAATGAGAAAATGATAAAATTAACTGCTTTGGTCGTTTAGGTCTCAAACATATTTTTCAACTTCTGACTGCAAAATTGTTTTTCTTATACAAGAGCACGGTAGTGAAGTTCTACATGGTGTAGCATCTGCTGTTAAAAAGATGTAAGCCTTTTTTTGTCATTAGGTTGAATATGAAAAAACTAAAATAATCACAAAAATTTCCAAGCAAAAATTATGGTTCCAAATGAGATATATATAAGTGTGAATACTCTGTATTTACTTAAATAGTGAAAAAAAAATAGCAAAATTGAAACCATTTACTGCTTTAGATTGTCCCGTGGGGTTTCAGAAAATTATTGGTGTGGGTAAAAAATACGTTCAATGATCCAGAAATCTTTGTGACGGAAAATGGATACTACGATTTCGGTGACATTGACGACAGAGGGAGAATTTCATTTTATGGCGTAAGTTCTTTTCTCTCACATTAAAATTTGTACTCACCGTAAACTAATTTTATAGCAATATCTTGAAGCTCTCTTGGAAGCCATCTATATTGATAATGTTAAGGTTATTGCCTACACCGCCTGGACTTTAATGGATAACTTTGAATGGAATTTGGGATATGAGTAAGAAATATAAATAATAATTCAGCAAATAAAGTGTGTGTAAAGAACTAGAATACAGCAAAAATTTGCTTGTGTCATGTTTTAGTAACATTCCATCAGTCACTTATTTATTGATATTAATTTTTATAGCGGAAACATATTATGTATTTGTTCTTTCCTCTCCTTTCAGGTATAAATATGGAATTTATTATGTAAATTTTACTGATCCCGATCGTCCTAGAATTCCAAAATCGTCGGCATATTTCATTAAAAACGTCATTGGAAACAGAACAGTAGTGAGTTATGACAGAGTTGTTTAAAATGAAGGCCTACCTACCTATGTATATACAGTTTATAAGGCTCCATAAGCGTTACTTTTCATAAAAGTAACACCAAACTTATTGGTTGTTTAGTACTTTACTTTATCATTTGTATTGTATTACGTTGTACTATTGTAGGGTAACATTCCTTTATTTTGCTTAAAAGACTACAATTATTTTTTGAATTAAGAAGATTTTCCTCATTAAATAACATTTAATTTCTAATGTGAAAAAATCTGAAGTCGCATTACATGATAAATTAGTCTTTATTACAAGTTTACTGTATCCGACATTAGGGTTAAATATGTTTTAAATGTAATAAATGTAAATAATACGTTTTTATCAATAATACAATAAAACTTTTAAGCACATTCATCTTAAAATTTGTAGATACTATACAAAAAAATACAACGTGTAATTATACAACACGCTACTGAAGTGAAACAACTCCTTCAAACACACAAACATACCGGGATAGGGGTTAAGGAATTGGTTTAATGGTATTATTTGTACACTATGAAATTAAATTTTGCACTATACATGCCGGAGTTGCCTGTAACGAACGTTACACTGAAGCGCGCTCACGGCTCAAGCTATCCCCACTACGAACTCGACTACGTGACCGAATAGAGGGGGCACATCCGTTTCATGGTTTCGTTACATAGCAACTCGTATGAAACGAACTTACCCTATCGTGCGTAAAGAAGCTTCACTTCAGTAATTCTTGCTGCTCTCGTCCTTGCCGGGAATCGAACCCTAGACCTTTGACTTTACACACCAATGCTCTGACTGCTGAGCTAGGAAATGTAACGGTAATTCTTTATTTGCAAAAAGATCTAATATCTTCTAATAAATTTGATATTTACAATTTGTTTTCGAATCGTTTTAGTTCAATTAACTCAACTTTATTCTACCTCTCATTACTGGAAAACTTTAATTTATATGATAATCAGTTCACCATTTCAGCAGAGACATTTAAGATCATTAAACGTAATGTTAATTCTGGTGTAGATTCCATTCCCTAATTTGGCCAGCTCTTAAGTCACCAATTCTTATACTCTTTTCATTAAGACATTGCAATTAACTTTCGTTTCTAAGCTGGTAAAAACTTTCTTACGTCCTTCCAATATTCAATATAAACTGGGTATTAAAAAGTATCGTCCTATCTCAATTCGTAGTACCCTATCAAAATTATTTGACATGTTGCCGATTTTATTGCCGATTCGTATATCTATATGACATATTATCAGTCAATAGCATAGCTTTGTGAGAAAACGCTCTATTATTACTAATTAACTTGTTTTTAATAACTATATTGTTAATTCATTTAACTATCCTTATCAAGTTGAAGGGATTTGCATTGATTTTTCCAAAGTTTTCGATAATGCCGAGCATTTCACATTATAGTCTAAACTAAAGGTGACCTTTTCAAATGACTAGCATCTTACATAACCGGTCGTTGGTAATTTATCAGAATTAATGGATTTGAGTCTAAATTTCTTACTGACGTCTGGGCTCTTATTTAGGCTCTATTTTATTTATACTTTTTATTAATGACTCATCCGAGTCCTTTGAACATGTTCAAATACTTGTCTATGCTGATTATGTAATGATAAGTTTTCCAATGTTATTGATATCGGTTATTAATGAGTTCAGTAAATAAATAAATTTCCCTTTCTTGGTTCAGATTATTAGATTAGATACTCAGTGATGCAGTTTTGGCCAGGCCGAATGATGACCTCCGATTTTGGCATTATCTATGTGCTTTCTTTCTCATTAGAACCATATTATGAATGTTATATTTAGGGCATACGGCACTTTGGGATTCATATGTTGGTTTTCGATTAATTAACTTAAAAGTTTTTTGTCTTTGAGATGTTTATAAGTATACGATGCTTGTTCTTCCTAGCCTTACATATGGATCTGTTGTTTGAAGCCCATATATCACCTGATATTCATATATAATTGAGAATTATAAAATATAAATTTCTTCGTGCTGTTGATTTTGACTATTTTAAACATAAATATTCTAATATTTAACTCAAACTTAATTTATCGACATTAGTGTCAAGACGCATCATCCACAACTATTAATTTAGCTTTAAGATTGTAAATGACTATCGATTTTTCGGAATTAACGAATTTGTTTATTTTTAGAAGTCTGCCATCCTTCCATAGTTCGAGAGAACTGTTTAAGTTTAGCCAAACTCATCATTATCGTCACAATGTCGTCAGTCCTAAGACCAGTTGGATACACACCTTCCACTCTTGCCTATCTTGAACTAAATTTCCCTAAAATAAAAACATCCACGTCCTTAAATATTTGTGAATTATCTAATCTAAGTCTACCTCTACTCTTTTCTCCTGTTCTACTTCAAATATATCTCTAAGCCTATAGCCCTTAACCAAGAAGAAAAAGATTCATGTTCATTCACTTTTTTTCCGTTTGTAGACTTGTATATTGTGGAACGGCTTACCGGAGAATATCCTATTCCTTAAATCTAATTTACAATTTATCTAATTTTATGAAAATGTTTATAATTCATGAAAAAACAGGTACCTTTGCCGTCTAAAAGTCACTCAAAATTGTTAAAATAGTGTGATAGTGAATAAAATTATAATGCTAGATCGAGTTGAAAGGAGTAATTACATTTAAAAAGCAGCATTCTTTATTAAACAACCGTAAATAAAAAAAACCCTATGATGCTTCAGAAATAATGCTTTACTAATAAACTCTACAATTGTTTTGAACAATTAGGTGTTTATCAAGACTACATTCAGATACTCTGCGGGAGATTTCTTTTTTATAATTGGTATTTCATACGATTTGGTGAACCTGGATCGGCGGCGTGTTGATCGCATGAAACTTCCTAACAATCCTAAACACTGTAAGTTTTATAATATCTGTTGATCTATATACAATGTCATCAATCGGCATACAAACGGTGAACTCCACGGTAAATAGAAGAAATAACGGTGAACAAACGGTGAAATGAAATGGTGAAAAATCAAAACGTGCGGCTTGACAGTAACTTTGGAACTCTCTTGTTGGTGCTGATGGCAGGCTTCTTAAGGGTGAGAAGGTGGTGAGGTAGAGAAAGACAGCACAGATACATTAGTAACTGGAAAGAGAAGGATATGTGATTAGTGGTCGAGAATACAGAAAAGTCATAAATAAAGGAAAGAACAAGGGCAGATAGATAAAATGTAGAGAGAGACGATAAAATAGAAAACGAGGTACATGACAATTTACAACAACTGGTTTTTCGCACATTTCCTATTTTTTGCCTCAAAAACGAAAATCTTACTTAAAACTACATATCTATTTGTATCTGCAATTTCGTTGTAAAAATAATATAAATAACTTAATTTGTATACAACACTATTTGATAGGATTGAAAAATGTTATTCTTCGCCACCACTGAAAATTTATACCGACATATATGAATATCATAAAATTGATATCAAAATAAAAATAATAAGTATTTCCCTTGATCTGCCGATTCTGTATGTTAAAGGTAGGTAACATACAAAACTGCAATTTACACCCATAAAATTTTAAATAATACAATAAATATCCTATCATTTCTTAGGGTCCGTATAATTTATCTAATCGCTTACACAGATTGCTTTATATAAATCCGAAATTTAAAAAATCATAGCAGTTAATGCAATTGTTCAATATGTTTAGTGCCTTTAACATATTTGCTCTTTTTGCAGTTCTTCACAGGTAGGTAAACCGTTACCACCATTACACGTATACACTAAAGATATCATTTTTCTATATTAACATTATTGTTTAAGAGGGTGCTGGGCAACTAGCTACACCTTTCCTGACAACTTTTTGTTTGGGACGGCAACTTCAGCATACCAAATCGAAGGAGCATGGAACGAAAGTGGTATGAAATTTTAGTTTCTGCAATGTATCAAATCAACAACAATCGATATAAATGCAAATCGTAATGGAAAATAATTCTTTTGTTTTAACTCGCGATGCCTGAGAAAATCTTTGTTTCAAATTAAGAAACTCTTCATCCTTCTATCAAGTGGCTTAGCTATACTTAATTTAAAGACGCATTTCATATTTTTAAGGGAAAGGTGAAAACATCTGGGATAGGTATACTCACGATCACCCAGAAAGGATCCTTGACGGAAGCAATGGTGACATAGCATGCGATTCCTATCACAAATACGAAGAAGATATCAAACTTCTTAAGGAGTTAGGAGTAGATTTCTACAGATTTTCTCTATCGTGGACAAGAATTTTCCCAAGTGGATTTCCATACAATGTTAATTACGAAGGCATTAATTATTACAACAATATCCTTAATTTACTTGCGGCCAATAACATTACGGCTATGGTTACTCTGTTCCATTGGGATCTTCCACAAAGCCTTATGGATTTAGGAGGATTGACAAATCCTAAGTTTATCACCTACTATACTGAATACGCAAGAACGGCTTTTGAACATTTCGGCGATCGAGTTAAATATTGGTTAACTTTTAATGAACCTTTTCAAACTTGTGTGTATGCTTATGGTGATGGAACGTTTGCCCCTGGTCTAACAATGTCAGGGATTGCCGACTATCTCTGCGGCCATAATCTACTGAAAGCTCATGCTGCTGCTTATCATCTATATAATACGACATACAGATCCAAATACGAAGGTTTGTAAAATAATCAAAAGCATGTCATAAAAATACTATACTTTTCAATTGTTTTTTTTTACTGACATTCAGGTAAAATCGCTATCTCAATAAGTGCTGAATGGTTTGAACCAAATACTACGAATGATGAGGTAGCTGCAGAAAGAATACGGCAGTTTTGGGTAATGAACTAGCATATCACAGATAAACTATACAAATGTAGAAAAGTCTAAAACGCACTATATTTTCAGTACGGTATGCACATACAACCAATTTTTTCATCTGAAGGAGATTATCCTGAAGTTGTAAAAGAATATATAGCGGCTCAGAGCTCTTTAGAAGGTTATAAACGATCGAGACTACCACAGTTTACCCAAGATGAAATAAACTATATAAAAGGAACCTCTGACTTTATGGGTTTAAATCACTATAATACATATTTAGCCACCAATGCCTCAAGCACTAGTTTAGAAACTTCTTATTACAATGACATTCAGGCTAGCTACTGGCTTAGTAGTTCGAACATGGAAGACTCTGATACTGCACGGGTAAGAGGACGTATACAATGCTTACATAAGATATGGGTTTCTTGGTCTAATTTAAAAAATATTATACATATACAAATATACATGACTTCAACGGAATCATATGAAGTGAAGACAGAAATTAGAGCATTGTGCGAATTTAGATAATTGTGATTTTTATTTCAATTTATCCACTTCACTCTCTATTTCACGAGGACATTTCGTATTGTGGTGGTCAACCTCGAAATTATTTAATTTTTGCTATTAAGCTTTTAAGTCGTCATGCAAGGTTATTGCTAAATTAAAATTTCTTTATTAGTGTAATTACAATTTCCTCTTTTGCTTATATAATTTCTCATCAAAGACCTGTAACGATCTAAGTCCATAGTTTCAGATAGCAGTTTTCTATATTCGTGCCTTAGCTTGACGATTAATTCTAATCCTCCCTGAAATCAAGTTGATCATTAACTTCATGTCCATACTTCAGAATCCAATTGTACACCTCATTTTTTAAGAAAAAAAATGTCACTTGGGCGAATATTGGAAACCTGCTGCATTTTGCGTTCATTCGACCCGTTGACATAAAAATTCTCAAGTAGTTAATCGACAGATTAGTAACATAGATTATCTGTAGCTATTTGAAAAAAATGAGAAAATGATAAAATTAACTGCTTTGGTCGTTTAGGTCTCAAACATATTTTTCAACTTCTGACTGCAAAATTGTTTTTCTTATACAAGAGCACGGTAGTGAAGTTCTACATGGTGTAGCATCTGCTGTTAAAAAGATGTAAGCCTTTTTTTGTCATTAGGTTGAATATGAAAAAACTAAAATAATCACAAAAATTTCCAAGCAAAAATTATGGTTCCAAATGAGATATATATAAGTGTGAATACTCTGTATTNTTGGGTAATGAACTAGCATATCACAGATAAACTATACAAATGTAGAAAAGTCTAAAACGCACTATATTTTCAGTACGGTATGCACATACAACCAATTTTTTCATCTGAAGGAGATTATCCTGAAGTTGTAAAAGAATATATAGCGGCTCAGAGCTCTTTAGAAGGTTATAAACGATCGAGACTACCACAGTTTACCCAAGATGAAATAAACTATATAAAAGGAACTTCTGATTTTATGGGTTTAAATCACTACAATTCATATTCAGTTAGTCATGCTCCGAGCACTCTTCAAGACACTTCTTATCACAATGATTATCAGGCTACCTATTGGCGTCTTAATGGTACGAACCTGAACGACGGTTTAATGGTAAGATACTGCATATAATGCCTACCTAAAGTATGCGTTTATTTGTTTAATTTAAAAAATTGTACATACAAATATACATCGTTAACGATATAATATCAGGTAAAAGCAGGAATCAGAGGATTATGTGAATTTAAATCATTGTGATGTTTATCTCTATTTCGCCACTTCACTCACTATTTGATGAGAACATTTCGTATTGCTGATATACCTTAAAATTGAAAAAGAAATAAAAAGCAGAACAAAAGCCTTTAGACCCTATAATCAGGACAGTCTAACTAAAAGCCTTTACCAATTTGTCAAATATCAAAGTTAACTCACCATTCATACTTATTGTTATTTGATTACCATTTCGCTGTATTCACCGATAGCGATTTTCAATTTTTTCGGCACCACGAAGCTTCTCATTATCATATTTATATAAATTATCATCAAAAGTCTGGATGAGAAAATGAAAATAAAATCGCAACTCCAAGACCATTGTTTCAAAAAGCAACTGAAATACTTCTCACTTTTGCGTTAACTTGACGACAAAGTGTGGCTCACCCCGCATGCAGGCTATTCGTTAACTTCTTGTCTATACTTCGGAATCCATTTCTCCATCTCATTTTTTAAGAAAAAATTACTTTTGGCGAATATAGGAAAACTGCTGCATTTCAAAATTTGCACATTTTATGTTTATTCGACTTATTGACATCGCATTTTCCTAAAACTAGAACATCCCACATCATTTACTATTTGCTAACAATATCCCAATCTAGATGTACCTCTCCACCTCCTAACTACTGCTTCTGCTTCTAATATGTCTCTGACTAGCCCTTCATGCCTGAGAATGTGTCCTACCAACCTATCTCGCCTATTTCTTATTAACTTCCATAGAGTCCTCTGTTCACCTATTCTTTCTAGTACACCTTCATTTCTAACCCTCTCTATCCACTATATCGTACCGTTCATACCGTTCATGTTTGGCACGCTCCAAACACACCTTCAAAATCTTTTTCGAATGTCTAAATTAACCGTTCTGGAGCATAGAAGTGACTTCTTTTTATTGAAGGCGACTCGACCCTTCTCTATCCTCTGCTTTATATCCCTACTACTCCATCCGCCTTACCTTATCTGACTTCCTAAATACCAAAAGCCAGCACTTCGTCTAATTTTTCGTCTCCTGTCTTTATATTCGCCCTTTCCCTATTTCTTCTTCCCTTCCATACCAGTATTTTCGTTTTACTTTTATTTATTTTTATACAGTACTGTTTGGACAATACCGCTTCCATTTTATTTAAAACTATCTCCAACCCTCCTTGCTAAATGCTAATAGTGCTATAACATCTGCTAATCTAAGCATACAAACCTTTTGCCCCTGTACATGTATCCCCACAATTCTATTGTCATTAATAGTGTTGGTAGCACAATTATCGCTAATTGAAAAATATGAGAAATTGCTAAATTAATTTGTTTGGTGCTCTAGATTTAAAATATCTATTTCGACATTGTTTTTCCTAATAGAAAGCTAAACATGCATGGTAGTGAAGTTAAATTTAGCGTGGCATCTCTTTTTAAAAAGATGTAAGTCTATTTTCGTCATTAGACCGAATATGAAACAACTAAAATGTGAAAATACTTAAATAACGGAGCGTTATCACATATTAAATTACGTTAAATTTGTAAGAAAAGTTTTTCGTTTCAAATGGGTTGCACATCCAATATTAGAGGTCTGAACAGGTAGTTGGTAAATGCACAGTACATATTTCCATAAAGTAGTTGTAAAACAATGTAGGAGCTAACATTCGTACCAAAATCAAAACCATTTACTGCCCTAGGTTGTTCCGTGGGGTTTCAGAAGTTTGTTGGCTTGGTTGAAAAATACGTATAATGATCCTGAAATCTTTGTGACAGAAAATGGATATGGTGCTGATTTTGAAACCATCGATGATAGGGAGAGAGTTTCATTTTATGGCGTAAGTTCAACAATTGTAGATACCCTTATAACATACATCAAAAGGGTAAGAATATATTGGATTAATTTGTATTCACCACAAACTAATTTTTTAGCAATTTCTTGAAGCTGTCTTAGAAGCCATTCATATTGATAATGTCAGGGTTATTGCCTACACAGCATGGAGTTTAATGGATAATTTTGAATGGAATATAGGATATACGTAAGAAACATAAATAACACCTAACCCAGTAAATAAAGTTCGTGTAAAAAACTAAAATAAGAATAAGTTGGCCGTCACGAGACGTAGATAGTAGATAGAATTTATAATTAACAAGATTTTACCCGTGGCTTCGGTCGCGTTGATGTCCTGAATAAGTACATGTCAAAAATCACCGACGACTTCATAAAACTAATTTTTCTATTCCTCGGGAACAGTATGTTTTTCTAAATAAATTTCTCAATTATAATATGAGTTAGGATAAAACAAATAATATAGAGTTAAAAAAATACTTTCGTTATTTCGATTCAATAATATTATCATCACTGATTTGAAATATTTCAAACATTTAACAATGTCCTTTTAAAAACAATAATATTAAAATAAATACAAAGTGAATATACAAGCGGTGAATTATAATCGGATAGAAAGAGACGGCCTGGCGGCGTCAGTTGCCCCAAAAGAAAATTTAACATTTAACAAGAATTTGATTGTGACATCTTCTAGTAATATTCATCAATCGTTTATTTATTGATACTAATTTTTATAGCAAATACATACAAAGTATACCTATATTATTATCTCTTCTTTCAGGCGTAAATATGGAATTTATTATGTGAATTTTACTGATCCCGATCGTCCTAGAATTCCAAAATCGTCAGCACACTTCTTTAAAAACGTCATTGGAAACAGAACAGTAGTGAGTTACGAAAGAATTTTTTAAAAAATGTATCTATCTACCTACTTCTCAGAAAGTTCCAAAAATTTGTGTTTTACAATAAAAGTTACTTTTCATAAACCGTAACAAATACACTTGTATATTATTTACTAACAGTTCATTTTTAAGACGGTATTAAAAACGAATATATCCGTAAAAGGGCACAAAAATCAGATTGGGTGTTTTATTTTTTACCACCTTCTAATGGTGAGCAGTCCCTCCGGACTACGCCGGAGAGTGGGAGTGAGAGTGAGAGAAGACCCTCTTCAGTCTTCTTTTATGAATCGTGAGAATGTGTGCGTGGTGGTGATGATTGCGGTAAGAAAGATAAGACGAACGAAATAAAGACAAAAGAGAGTGACAAACTGTCTGATACAATATTTTCGCCCATGGAAAGCACAGAAAGATTTGAATCTGAGCAGACTCGGAATAGATCGAAGCCCCCCCCCCCAATGTTGAATAATAGTCTAAACTTCTAGGTCAGAGCCGGACAAACTTTAACTTCGTAGGAGCCGCTACCTTAGATCAGTTTGAGTCACTCCATACCCTTCAATGTGTACGAGAGAGTAAGGAATACCTAATGGCCCATATTGCTTTCTTTTTTTTTTCCCTTCCACTCCCATATCAAGCCCCTCCGCCCCGTAGACGAGCGAAGCCTCTCTCGCAACTTAAATAATACCTAAGAAAATTTTCTAATGATCGCCCCGCAGCTCAGGGGTAGAATGCAGGACTACGTTCGCAGTACTATTGGGTTCGGCTATGGAAGAGGGGACTCATCTACGAAATGGAAGGGATAAGAAAAGGAAAGAATCGTCTCACTCGCACTCTTAGGAGCAATGAGGAGCTCCTTCGCTATACCTGACGAGCACTCGGGAGTCAAAAGAGCCGAGACTGCCCGGCTCTGTTCTAGGTCATGCCGCTCGGTCAAAATAGCACAACATAATTTACCTATAGTTGGGACGTTCAAAATTGGAAGAGTTCCCAATAAAGCTGTCGCATTTTCTTTCTTCTTTCAACTTACTAACTAGACTAGAGCGGTTGCTGACAGAACGTCTGTTTTTACTCACGACAGACGTTGTAGGCAATATCGTCAACATAGAAAAGAGATGTCAGGTAGAAATTGCAGCGGGCACTAATAAAGAAAAAGAAAAAACATTACACCAATTGATGTGTAACAGAAAGAGATGCAGACAAGCAGAATTTGGGCACGTTATCAGCATCGGACTTTAAAGAAAGTTCAACATTCTCAGGAATTTAGGAAAGAAGGATGCTTGTTTAAAAATGTAACTCCTGCTGGGCTGTTATAAATCGGACCCTGGTCTTTTGCGTACCTAAGCAAGCTCTCACTGCTGCACTGTTACTATTATTAGATTATATCTCCATTTTTTCTATACTACTCATGAACAACAGAGGACTCTATGGAAGTCAATAAAAAATAGGCGAGATAGGTTGGTAGGATACCTTCTCTGGTATGAAGGTCTAGTCAGAGACATATTAGAGGCAGAAACAGGAGTTAGGAGGGGTAGAGGTAAATCTAGGTTAGCTTACTGTTCGCAAACAGTTAAGGATATGGGTTGTTCTAGTTTTAGGAAAATGCGAAGTTTAGCTCAGGATAGGAAAGAGTGGAGGTACGTGTCCAACCAGTCTTAGGACTGACGACCCTATGATGATGATGATGACTCATGAAGCATTTCCTAATTTAACAAGGGCATTTTGAAGACGCAGCAAATGACTACACTCCCAAGTGGAAACAAAAATGAAGTTACATCCATTCTCGTACATAATTTATTGCGGTCTATGTCAATTTGGATTGTCCCAACTATACTAAGTCGTTGTTTGGTTTTGTATAGCAAAACGAAAAGCTGTTGGTGGTCAGAATTCAGTCGAAATGCCTTGCGTGTCTAATACGTAAAAGCTACACCTTTGATTCCGTTTGACAAGAAGACAAAATACTGACCTTCAAGAACTTCTTCTTTTTCTCGATTACGTGCATATCACGCAAGTCAATATCCTTACTAATAAAGGACCTTTTCGAATATTATTGAATCCCACAATAAGTAGCAATTTTCCATAGATGGAGTTCACATGCTGTGTATACATACTAATCGGTATCACAAGTAAGAATCGCTTGATCCTTCAAATGGACACACCTTTGTAAACAAGAAACAGGATATTCTGAAACCTTCCTTAATATTACGCAATATAAAAAAGCAAATCAAATAAAACTTATCTGTTCATTGTTTTGTCAAACAAAATATCTTGTTGTTATCTTTTGAAATTCTTTAGGAGTGGCTGAATTTATAACTGAAAATGTTCGTTATCTTTTATTTTCTTAATTTTATGTTACTTAATCCTTATGAAACAAACAAGGCACTTGACGATGCCAATACCAGCAATATCATTTTTAAAAAAGTGATATTTACTTTTTATCTCTTGTTTCCTCCACACTGATTTTTATCAAATGATTTCGGATTGATGCCAAGTGAAATCAAATGAGATTGAAATAAATTGATAGCCACTAAATTGCTACACAGCAATGTGATATGCTCGCAAGTTAAAATCGACAAAGACTGCACGCTTAAGAACATTCCAAGGATGCGCTTCTGAAAAAACTCGAGAACATTGTACAGCAATATGTATAAATAAATGATTGGTAGATAATCGAAGTCAATCCATACATGAGCAAGTGGCATAAACAAATGGGAAATGAGAATTAGTAATACAGTGATTTATTAAATAGCGTTTTTCAAAATACATAAATTCCGTTCAAATAAATAAAACTATACTAAAAACTTTCTTACGATATTTATAAAATATGACAGTGAATTTGATGAACCCGTAAATCCGATGCTGCTTCAACTTAAAACATGTAAAAATCTAATCTAAACACTCTTAACCACTGACAGTAAGTGCTTATATAAGCTCCTTGAAGTGTGTTTTACTCTTTAGTGTCATTCAGAATGGAGGCTAATAACAATGCTTTGCTTTTAAGGATAGCTCTCTTAATTAGTTTGATGACGTAGTGAGTATCAGTAATTTTTTTCGTTATTAAAATAATGATAATAATATAATTAATGCATAGCATACAATTTTAGTAGAGAATGCGCGTCAAATTACACATTTTCTTCTGATTTCCTGTTTGGTACTGCAACATCCGCTTATCAAGTTGAAGGAGCTTGGAATGAATCAGGTAATATCCATTATATCCCATATAAAAACACATCAAACCTATATACCTATATGTTGTTGTGATATATGTACTCAATGACATTTGATTGTCATCAGGAAAAGGTGAAAATGTATGGGATTTCATAACCCACAACACTCCCGAATTCGTTTATGACGAAAGTAATGGAGATATTGCTTGTGACTCCTATCACAAATACGAAGAGGATATTAGTCTCCTAAAAGACATAGGAGTAAACTTTTATAGATTCTCTGTATCTTGGACCAGAATATATCCAAATGGTTATCCGTACAATCCGAATGCAGAAGGAATCGCATACTACAACAATCTTATTGATGGTCTTCTCGCCCAAAATATAACACCAATGTTAACCATTTACCACTGGGATCTTCCTCAACGTCTTCAAGAATTGGGTGGTTGGACAAATTCATACATTGTAGAATCGTTTACAGAATATGCAAGAACCCTTTTGGAGAATTATTCTGATCGTGTTAAATATTGGATCACAATCAATGAACCGTACTCAATATGCAATGAAGGATATGGAGAAGTTGCATATGCTCCAGCTCTAGACATGTCAGGCAGAGCGGATTATCTATGCATTCACAACCTACTCAAATCTCATGCTGCAGTGTATCATCTTTTTAATAATACCTACAGGGCCAGAAATAACGGTGAGCATATATTCAAATCATTAATGAGCCTAATCTGAACTTCCCCTTATTCATCACTCTCATGACTCATTACCCAAGTCATTGTGAAGATGACATCGACAAAAAACGAGAAGTTCAGAAACAAATTAAACGTAAATTAATTAATTATTATCGTTAGCCATTTGACTTCTTATTATGGAATTATTAATTAAGTAAAATAATTGTAACAACCCAACATAAAATACATATTCTGTTTAAGCCACAATGGGTATCTCCTTGAGCGCTGCATGGTATGAACCCAGCAGCCCCGAAGAAGAAGAAGCTGCTGAAAGAACCAGACAGTTCAGGGTACGTAAAGTCGCAATTATACTTTTAAAACATTCGATGGAATACCTATGTGTTATCGTTAAACGCCTAAAATTCCCTTCAAATTCGAATTCACTAATAAGGTTTCAGCTGGTGTGAGTAACATAAAATTGCCGGACTCTAAGTTGGTTATGCTAAAATTACTTTATTGCAATCAAAAATAATACAAAGAGAAACTAATCAAGTTATAGTGAATTGCAAATAGAATAAACAAGGTGAAGAATATAGCAGGTACAAGGAAAACTGGTTGCATTTAAGAAGATATTTGCAATGAATGTAAAAAAGTCATTACATTTGTATTATTGAACTTGCATGTGACATGTAGCTTTCCTACGAATTTAGTTTCTACTGGAAATATTCAATTTGTTCTCATCAGATTAGATTATGAATTATAATAAAAGCGATAGAATCAGCATTCCATTCGCGTATGTTGAAATCACCAAGTTAAAGTCGAAAAGCCTACTTATCTGTCTTTCTACTGTTTGGTACCGGTAGATTTGGAAGATATCAACGAGCGACTTCCACGTTATTCAGGCTTTAATCGTAACACGCTATTACTTTCAAAAACAAAAACTCTACGTTTCTCTGTAAAATTCCATTCCTGTGTCTTTTTAGGTAGGTTTCTACGCAAATCCAATTTTTTCAACAGACGGTGATTATCCTCAAGTAATAAAAGAGTACATTGGTAATCGAAGTTCTGCTCAAGGCTTCACTAAATCTAGACTTCCCCAATTCACTTCGGATGAAATTGACTATATTAGGGGAACGTCCGATTTTTTTGGACTGAATCATTACACCACTAAATTGGTGAGAAATTCACCAGCAACTAACAATACAGTTTCATTTGAAAGCGATCTGCAAACGGAGCAGTTTCTTAATTCTAGTTGGCCAATGGATGCAGCTGGCAGGGACGCTGTAGGTTTACAATATTTTGTATTAGTTAGATAAATCCTTTGCCTTAAACCTGTATCTTTTAGATTGTTCCATGGGGTCTCCGAAAGCTTTTAACGTGGATTAAAAACACATTTAACAACCCTATCATTCATATTACAGAAAATGGTACTCCAGATAGTGGGGGGTTAGAAGATAACATTAGAGTGTCTTATTATGGGGTAAACAAAATTACAATGATGCACATTACTTATAAGTAACTGCATAATATTAAATTTGTTTTGCAGTCATATCTTGAAGCAGTTCTGGAAGCTATCAATGAAGATAATGTAGATGTTCGAAGTTATACTGCTTGGAGTCTAATGGACAATTATGAATGGAAATACGGATACGCGTATGTATTTACCTGTCATTAGCCGTTTATAATGAGAAGAATTTATTTTTATACATTATTTTTAGCTACCGTTACGGAATTCATTCCGTCAATTTTTCTGACCCAGATCGTCCAAGAACACCAAAATTATCAGTCAGCTTTTACAAAGACCTCATAGCTAACAGGACTGTTGGTGACTACCCTTCACTTTCGTAAAAATATGTATTTGCTGTTTGAGAATATGTGTTCGTATTTGTTAAAACAAAACTTAGGACTTCGATCATTTACAAAACTTAGGTACTAGAAATCATCTATAGGTATTCAAAATTCAGCTCAGGATGAAAATGATCAATTTCCATTAACATACTCTGTCATAATACAGACTCTAATCCTTTAGAGGGTACAATAGAAATTAGGAAAGGGAGATTTTGAATTAAATAATTGGGCATCTAGCTTCGTCAACTACATTCGTTGACAAATAGGACACAAAAGTCTTGGAATTCGAGGGATTATATATAAAAAAAATTGGATATTCAAAACAGGATTTTATTATTAGAAATGAGTTTAGATTTATTCAGACCATAAAAGCATAGATGATCTTAGACTTTGATAGTAAAATGTAGTAACCAAAATAAGAGTTCAGCCAGCGGATAGCAGTACTTCCCACCTCTCCTTAAAAAAACGACAGGATTGTTAATCCAAGAATGTTTATATTGTATCCGTGCCGTGTAAGGATTTCCACAAGAGTCCTAGCCCCTTTCCTTTTATGCCACAGAAACCTGGAGCGAGACTTCGTGTCAGTCCTCTAATAATAATAACAGTTTTGATGTTGTTAAATGGCCTCTTAGGAGAGGTAAAATGGCATTATAAAACAAGAAAATTAAGTTACTGTTTGTACCCATGCTTAAAATTCATCGTATGCAAGAAAAATGTAGTTAAAAGTAATTTAAAGTAGTAATTTCAAGTAATGTAACTCCATATTTAAAAATAAAATAAAAACACTTGGAGTTTACAAATAATTTATTACAACCACTATAATTATTTCGACACTCTGTGCCTTCTTCAGGTGGTGAAGATATCATATCTATCTTCATTTGTAAACTCGAAGTGTTTTTATTTTATTTGTAGTTAAAAGTACCTACATGCAAATGCAATTCTCGCCCTAATAAAAAATTACTACTATGCAAGGCCGTATTCAATCAGCTGGTAATTAGCAACTTCAATGCTGTATTTCTATTATAATTTTTGGTCATGTGTTGTTATTTATTAGATTTGATAAAGTGTGGTTCAAGATGTTTATGCTGCCTGTAATAGTTTGTTCTTTAATATTTACACCTTGTATTCAGTTAATCGATATGTACTTCAATAAACTAATTCACCAATTAAACGTCAGTCATTGAAGTAAGTCAGTCAATCACTGTACAACACTGTGCCTTCTTATTTCGACTGTACTATAATTTTTGTAGTACACCTAGGTACGTTTAATATTGATATTCAATCAATCAATAGCTCTTCGATAAGCAAGCGGTAAGTTAACTTAAAACAAAGCATCAGTAAATATATAATTTTAATGGGACTGCAGCGCTATTGGCGAACCATCCACAAAATAAAGTAACACACCTGGTAATGCCTCAATGGTAGTGTGGAAATTTGTTATAATAAAATTGCCTACAATTATCCAAATGATACCCATTTACCTACTAATGTTTACGTGGAGGTGTAATTTACATATTGCATGTATCAACATAGAACAAATGCGTTTACACATTGCTTACGTTTTTCATTCAGCTGCAGACTTTTTTTGTCCTCAACGACGCTGCGTCTACTTTACACCTCCCAAAGGTAGGCACTTCTATCTACTACACCTTGTATATGAGCCTAGTTATATTGGTAGCCAGCATTTGCCAGGCAAAACGATAATTTCCATTTGAAAAGATGTTGCTAATTAATTCAAAGGTAATGAATAACTGGCCCCACTTCTACGGTTACCAATTCCACTCCTCTTTTTGTTCCTACACCCATCGGAGAAGCAAATATCAACCGAGAAGTTTAGTCGTTTGTTTGGCATTATATTATAATATAGGGGCAGTAATATTCCACAGATAACCGAGCGGCATGGCCTAGAGGTCTAGACCATTGCTTAGCATTCGGGAGGACGCCGGTTCGATTCCGGGTCTGTCCGTCTGCCTTGGTCCAAGTTTTTCTGTGGTTTCCTTGGATCACTTAAGCAAATGCTTAGGCAGTAATATTCCACAGATAATCTTTCACTCTCTTCTGTCTTCATTTCGTCCGTCTCAACTTTCTCACTCGAACCACCACCCACCCATTCCCACGATTCCTGAAAGCAGGCTGAAGAGGGCCTTCCGCCCTACCTTCCGGC